GGGGGGGGGGGGGACACCCAGGCCTCATCAGCCTTTGTCACATCCCTGGGCTGGGACGGGGCCACCTCCCGGGCCAGAGGAGACGGTCTCCTCACTGGGCCTGGGCAGGGATGGCGGCTCTGAATGTCAGTGCAGGGAAGGATGCAAAGAGGCCCTCTTACCCAGTTGCCCCTGCCACCCATCCCATCCCATCTCCACCCCAGCAGGGACGCAGCGGGGAGCGGAAAGCTCTCCCACACAGGGGTTGCCGGAGGTCTCAGACTCGCCCGGCAGCCCCGAGGGTGGCTGTGCCCCTTGTCCGTGAGGCCTGCAGGGGCATCCTAAATGCCAGCATTTGCAGTCTCTGCAGAAGCCTGAAGGGACCCAGAGCCCTGGGACGCATAAGTGAAGGCATATTAGCTCTCTAGTGCATGAGAGCTCCCCGAGCTGGGCTGGCCAGGTGCTGGCAGGCGACTGGTCCGGGGGCAGGGGTCCCTGCTGTCTGGGTGTGACGGATGAGCAGAGATGATGGGCATGATTCGGCAAGGCAATGCTTTCCCACAAGACAGCAGGGACCAGGGGTCATCGCCGGGGCCATGCAGGGCCGCCCCGTCGTTCCCCCACACCTGTAGCCCCGTCACCATCCCTCCCTCCTCCCCGAAGGCTCTGGACACATGCTGCAGGGAATACCCCGCTGCTGTCAGGAGCCAAGCAGCCCTTGTCACCAGCTCTTGGAGCTGGAGGGGACACGGGGAGCAGTACAGCAGAGGCTGCTCTATACTAGGGCAGCAGGGCCTGGCTTACACCAGGGTCAGCACAGCCCTGGGTTAGCACTGCACCTGCTCAGAAAGGGATGGCAGGGGAAGAGAATTAGGAGCAGGGGGGTGAGGAAGGTCCTAGAGGGGAGACAGAGCAGGACCCCCGGGACAGGGAACAGGCAGCAGGTGCGAGGTGGGGGAAGGCGAGGTGGGAAGAGCAGGGGGAGTCTGGGATCACTTCCAGAAGAACATGCCAAAAATCCAGCTGGGCTGAGGGAAGCGGGGTCAAGAGCCCAGCCAGAGCTGCTGAGGAGCCTGCAAAGGCGCCCAAGCTGCACATGGGCAATGCAGTAGCAGTCCAGCTACCAGGGAAGGGGAGTGAGCTCCTGGCGAGCTCCAGGCTCTCGTGGCTGGGTCGCTACCGGTACCAGAGCCAGCCCCGTGCAAGCGTGCTGGAGGCTCTTGGCACTAGGTTGCAGAGCAGAGCGAGCAGGACAGATGTCACCGGCTGCCTCTCCCCACCCGCCCTGGGAAGCACTTTCAGAGTCACAGAGCAGTGTCAAACCCCAGGGGTGTAAAAATAGCCCGAGAGCAGCACAGCTCACACCCAGAAGCCTGCAAGCAGGGGAGGAGATGCAGGGGCCTGGCTCACCACAGCCGCTCACCCAGTGGCCCAGGAGACCCCAAAATAGGCCCTCAGAGAGCTCTGAAGCGCTTGCGGTGCGGCCTGCACGGCGGAGCCGACAGTCCTGCAAAGGTCACCCTTTTGAGCTGCTATTCCTGGTCGCCTCTGTAGCCGGTCCCCTATAACAACATAGCACTCGCCACACCGGATCAGAGCAGTGATCCATCCTGCCTCCGACATGGGCAAAGTGGGAAAGCATCGTACCAGATACTCCAGAGAAAGTTATCCCCTATTCCCTTCCATGTATTGGGTTAGAAATGCCAGAGGAAACATCTCCAGTTGTTCTGTTCAATGGCCATTATGAGATCCATCAGCCCTGAATTTAGCCGGTTCCCGTTTTAGCCTGGCTGTGCTAGCTGCCTCCACCACCTCCTGTGGCAACAAACTCCATGAAAAAAAAGATCCTCTCTCTTCTTAGTTTCCAACCTGTCACCTACTCATTTCAGGGGTGCCCCTCGTTCTAGCAGGCCAGCTGGGCCCTGCAACCTGCTGCTGCTGCCTCGAGGGCTGGGGTTTGCTCCAGGACACGGTTATGGTCCCAGCCACGCTGCAATTCGCACCCACATGGTCGTGGGTCGCAGGGCAGATGGACAGCCCAGGCTCCCATCACCCTGTTCCCTACGTGCCTCCCTGAGCTGGTCTGGAGATGCAACTGGATAACCCCAGCCAACAGCGGTGGGACTGCAGGGCGCCCTGGGACTGGCCACACAATTTGCCCTCAATTCCTGGAGAACAGCGGCTCCCTCCCTCGCTTTGCTTGTTCCTGTCGGTCACCCGTCCCATCAGCCAGCGCTCACCTCCATCCAGGGCAGGAAGAGACCATAGGGGAGTCCTCACACGAGCCACATTTGGGCCCAGTCGCCAGAGAGATCTGGGGAAGAGGCTCGGACGAGCCTCTGGTGCCGGTCACTGAGATGCGCAGCTATTTAACCTTGCCTGGCCCGGTGCCTTGGGCACCCCCGGGTTGCTCGGAGCCGGCAAAGCGGCACGTCTCACGTGCGGTCACAAGGATTCAGGAAGGGACGGGGTCACCACCAGCCACCGATCTTGGTGCTTCCACGACCAGGGGTCCTTCCTGCCGCCGGACGGTGCTCTCGGTCTAGTGCTGCCACTGCCTCCTCCATGCCCGCCACCTCACTACCCATCACGCTTTTCCCTCTTGTCTCTTCTCTTGCAGGTGTCACATGGGGAACCTTCTTAAAGTGTTGACTTATAACGAGCTTGACCAAGGCCCTAATTTTTTCCTTGACTTTGAAAGTGAGATGGGATTTTTATTTTCCTTTCTTTTCCTTTTATTCTGTTGATTTGGGTCTTTTTTTTTTTTTTTTTTTTTTTTTTTT